AGAGAGGCCAGGTGGCCAGCACCCGTCTTACTGATTTCAGAGTAAGCCGTGCATGATAACTTTTGTTTGGAAAACATGTTAGACAATATAACAAGAGCACTCAAAAGTAGGAATAAACCCATCTTATTTTTATTTATACCAATTTCTCCTGATGACTGTCTGCTGAAATTGCTAAAATGACAAAGTCTTTACAGACAAGTATTGGAAGCAATGCTTTTTTTTTTTTTTCTTTAATACTCAGAGAGGAAAACATGGAATTATTGTGTGACAAAACCACTTGTCTAAAATCCCTAAGGCTACAAATTAAGTGGTTTGAAATCCCTGAATGCTGAAATAATTCCCAGTAAATGCACCTGTAATACAAGTGTAAGGCTAACTCATTGTTTATGAACCTTTAGGCTGATTTGAGGAGGAAATTAAGAATAGGACATCTACTGGTACACACAGCCTGTGCATTTACAGGAATTTCAGCATTTTAATAGCAAAACAGCACACCTTCTCCAAAAATACAGCCCATATCTTTCATGAATTTTAAGCGCTTCATAATTTCCCATGGCCTTCTTAAACAGGTAAGATAGGAAACTGTAATATGAGAGTATTTTATTCAGAAACTCAAGAACCTCAAACTAACAAGCCTTAGTACCCTATCTCCCTCCATCCACATCACTGCTTTTCCCAGCAACCAGGAGGAAACACAGAAGACACAAAGAAAGTGCTAGAAGCCAGAAAAGCACTGGGTGAAAGAGCACAACTATGAAGTCAGACACATCTGTGTTTCAACAAGTCCCAGCTCGGCTCCTTCTTGGGTTTAACCCATGACATTGCCACTATTCGACTGTTTGGGATCCATAGAGATGGCCTGATTACACGGTTCAGCCTAAAGGCTGTGTGACTCGGGCAGCTTATCTCAACTCCCTAAACTCCCATTCCCTCATCTGTAAAATGGTGGTATGCGCAGTATGGTGACCCCTCAAACTTTTACACGCTGAAGTCCTAACCCCTGGGACCTCAGAATGTGACCTCATTTGGAGGGAGGTCTTTACAGAGGTCACTAAGTTGAAGTGGTGTCTTTAGGGCAGTTACTTCTCCAATGTGACTGGTGTCTCTATACAAAGGAGAAAGTCAGGCAAAGGGAGACACGCAGAGGGAAGACGGCCGTCTCCACGCCAAGGACAGAGGGCAGGAAGAGGCCCTCCCCTCCTAAGTCTCAGAAGGAACTAGCCCTGCCAAAACCTGATCTCCGACTTCTAGCCTCCAGAACAGAGACTATAAATGCCTGTTGTTTAAGACACCCAGTTTTTTACTGCAGCCCTAGGAAATGAACACAAATGGGGGTTATAGTTGGACTGACACCTACAGGCGTCTTCAAACTACGGCCCGCGGGCCACATGCGGCCCGCAGAGGAGTCTGATCCGGCCTACCAGGTTTTTTGGGCAGTGAGCGCAGCCGAGGTGTTACAGTAGGAATTAGTAGTTCATATAGTCCGGCCCTCCAGCTCTCTGAGGGACCATGATCTGGCCCCCACTTTAAAAAGTTTGAGGACCCCTGCGAGAAGGTGGGTATGGAAGTTAAATGAAGACAATGCAGGTAAAAACACCTGGCACGGCACCCATAGCACCCAAGTCATGTAAAGCTCTCACTTTTCTTACTGCAGGTGGACACTTCACGTCATTCTGGAGTTACAATGGGAGTCTCACCACAAACACACACACACCGCTCTTTTTCCAGCCTCCTGCAGCACCTCCAGGCCCTTTGATGTAGCCTGGGCTCTGGAGCTTCTTCTCCCCACTTGGCACACCTGGCCAACAGCGTTTCATCCTCAAGTTTCCTCTCAGACATCACCTTCCACGGAGAGCCCCCCCCCCCCCCCCTCATTTAGCCATTGCCTCAGCCTTCTGCTCATATGCCTTCACCGGGGTGAGTGCAGCCCTTTCCACACAGCAATGCCATTACGGATTCCAAACTAGATCCCCTGTTCCTCCCAGGCCTCTGGATTCCCCTCAGGCTGTGCTGTGTGAGGTCCTCTGAACGCTGAGGAAGAATCTCTTCACCACAGGCAGGGCACCTGGCCACACCCACCGAGCCCAAGCAAGCCCACCTTCTCAGTCAGCGGCCAGAAGTCCTTTCCAGGTGGATGGTTCCGATAGTGTGGTCCGGACACCGGAAGTGTCAGCCTGTGGGAGACTTGTTAGAAAGGCAGATTCCTGGACCTCGCCCCAGGCTGACTGAAGCAGAACCTCTGGAGCTGGGACCCGAGAATCTGTTTTGTTAATAAGCCCTTCAGGTGATTCTGATGCAGATCAAGCTTCAGAACCACTGTTCTGGGTTTATCCAGTTCAGGAGGCGGGGCTTTGGCTGCTGGTGTAAGCTCTTCCCCCTTCCCCCCGCCCCCCCAGCACAGTATTACTATAGACTCAGGAGCCCCTAAGGGAGGGAGAACTGCAGAAAGGCCTTCATTTATAACTTACTTTTCCTAAGCCCATACTATGGGGTGAGTTGGTAATAGCTCTAAGATACCCAAACTGCCTAACAATGAGAATCCGTGTCCAGGAAAGTGAGTCTCCTCCCAAATTCTTAACATCCTTTCTGGAAGCAAAGAGGAGAAGATGACTTGGCCATGTCAGAAAAGTGATCACCAAGCCCCCTGGAAGTTATCAGGCAACGAACACCAGGCAAACAGTGCTCTCCAGACTCCAAGACTGAAAAAGAGGGCAGAACAGGTAGCGGCTGATGATCAGACACCTCAGGTCAAAGGCAGGTTCTACAGGCACCTTCCTCGCCCCAGGCCAGACACGGCTAGTGGATCCCAACATTCTTGCTCAACACACTTGGCCTATGAACCCTTACTCTAGGCAGCCACTACCAGTTGATCAGAACTGGCCCTTGAGAAAAAGCTGTTCACTATCTGAGTGTAGGTGTTCCGTCGTCAAGCTTTGTAGAGTTCGTATAAAAGCCAGCTGGTGTTCCAGGAATCTCACTGCATTGGGAAGTCAGGGGCTGTGCATCTCGAGGAAATCTTTTAAAAATCACTGAATCTCGGTTTCCTTATTTGCAAAGGAGAGCTAGGGATACCTTGCTCTCAGGGTTGTCCTGGGGATAAACAATACGGGTGAAAGCCCCTTGCCCGGTGCCTGGCAAATAAAAGGCTCTTAATAAACACCTGCTGGATCTGAAATGAGAGCGATGTGGATGCTGTGGGAAAAATCCTCCCTCCAAGCTTGCCAAGCAGCTGGAGGGGCACCCTTCAGTGCTCAGACATAGAAGAGATTTGGAGCAAGGCACTGCCTTGGGAAACCAACTGATGCGGAAAGGTGTGCGGTTACAGGAAATCAGAACCAGGGAGGTATTTTGTTTAAGTCAGAAAAAGCCTTCCCTCCAACCATGTCTGCTTCAACCACCCTTGGCCATCTTCCATGCTGAACCTCCTGCTCATCTGATCGATCGATAGGTCCTACCTAGAAATCTTTCAGGAAAACCATTGCTGGAGTCTAGGCAAGTATGTCTTCTTTATGTTGGAAGCTTTAAGAGCTCTATATAGATCATCTCATAAACAACCACAACCCACCCCAGCCCCATTAGGGCAATGGAAACTGAGGACTTCCCCATTCTAGTGTCCCCATTTGGACAACTGGACTCCAAGCAAGGCCGTGGTATGTGCCCAGTGCTCGCTATGTGTGAACACATTTAGCTTCATGTCAGCATTCCCCTTTTTATAGACGAAGATGTGGGGCGCCAAGAAATGGAGACATGTGCCCGGGGTCACACCATTAGAAGGCGGGAGTGCGGGGATTTGAACAGCTGTGTGCTATTCACACGCCTCTAACTCCAGCATTGACGCGTACCCAGAATCCACCCCAGCACAGGCCGGGAGCTTAAACAGACAGGAATGACAAAACAAGCGCAAAAAAAAAAAAAAGATTCTAGCCCCATCCCAGTCAGCCATCACAGACTGGTCTATAATCAGGGGTTAAAGTATAACTAAGAATACATCCCAACATCTGTCAAAATACAGTTTAATACCTTGTAAATCCCATTTAATTCATACTTAACATTGAACCAGTAAATAGATAATACCCACTCTTCATCTCCCACTAAAAGCATGTACATAATTAATCTTTAGAGGCCAGTCTTTTATATAATTATTCTACCTCAAAGATAACGGGAGAAAGGTGACCTGCCACAATGACCTACAACCAAAGGCACCAAAACACCCCGCTAGGCATTTCTCCTGAACCCTGGAAGTTGAACTTACATGCTTGAGCCAGGAAGAACCTCAATTAACATGTAGCCAAAGTTATACCTATCAATTCAGACCGTAAGTGCAGACAAGATGTTTCTGTTTCTTAGTAAATAGGATGTTAATGTTGAAAACGGTGGCCTTGACTATCTCAAGGACATGAAATAATTTATTTATTTATTTATTTATTTTAAATATATTTCATTGATTTTTCACAGAGAGGAAGAGAGAGGGATAGAGAGTTAGAAACATCGATGAGAGAGAATCATCGATCAGCTGCCTCTTGCACACCCCCCACCAAGGATGTGCCCGCAACCAAGGTACATGCCCTTGCCCGGAATCGAACCGGAACCTTTCAGTCCACAGGCCGATGCTCTATCCATTGAGCCAAACCGGTCCCAGCTGAAATGAAATAATTTATATCAAACTTTGGTGGAGGAAAGCCAGTAATTAGGTTGATGAGAGACAAAGAAAGCAAGTACCTCCCTGGCTGGTTTGGCTCAGTGGATAGAGTGTCAGCCTGCGAGACTGAAGGGGCTTGGGTTCGATTCCAGTCAAGGACACATGCCCAGATTTTGGGCTCAATTCCCAAAAAGGGGCATGTAGGAGGCAGCCAATCAATGATGCTTTCTCATCATTTGTTTCTCTCTCTCTCCCTTCCTCTCAAAGATCAATAAAAATGTGTGTGGGGCTTTTTTTGTGTTTTTTTTTTTTTTTAATTTTTAATTAATTAATTTTTTTTTTTTAAGAAGAAAACAAGTACCTGGTGAAGCAGGCTGTGCAGAGGCAGGAGTCTGTGTTTCGTGGAGCACCTGTGCCCGGAGGTACAGCTGGGGTGCCAGTCCCACTCACAGGGAGATGATAACAATGCGGTACTCCGTGCCCTAAAAAAGAGAAGGTTGATAGAAACCCAGCATGGTCATTCCCAGCACGGAGAGATCTTGTGAAATGCAGCTAGCTTCACCTACTGTAGGACTCAGTATTTGGTTTTTAGTATATTACATTTGGTTTTTAGTATATTCACAGAGTGGTACAACCATCACCACAATCCATTTTAGAACAGTTGACTTTATTTAAAAAAAAAAAAAAAAAAAAAAGAAAGTCCTTGGACATTACCCATCATCCTCTAATTCCCTCTTCTCCTCACAACCTGGTCCTAGGCACCACCAGTCCAATTTTTATCCCTATAGATTCACCTCCTCTGGAGATTTTACACAAATCAACTCATACACTATGTGACCTTTTGTGACTGGCTTCTTGGACTTGGCATAATATTTTCAAGTTTCATCCACGTTGTAGTATGTATCAGAACTCCATTCCATTTTATGGCCAAATACAATTCTCTTGTTTAGCTAGATCATATCTCACTCATCTCTTCATCAGCCGGTGGATATTTGGGTTGTTTCCACTGTTTTGGCTGTTGTGAACACAAGTACATATGTGGACGTTTTAATGTTTCTTAGATCTATATCTAAAAACAGAATTGCTGCCCCTAATGTTTTCAGTCTTCAAAAATTGGAGAAAATCATCCTGGCTGGGTAGCTCAGTTGGTTAGAGCATCATCCCAATATACCAAGATTGCGGGTTCAATCCCCAGTCAGAAATCAACTAATGAATGATGCATAAATAATTGGACCAACAAAACAGTTTCTCTCTCTCTCTTTCTCTCTCTCTCTCTCTCTCTCTCTCTCTCTCTCCCTCCCCCTCTCCCCTCCTCTCCCTCTTTCCCTCTCTCTCTCTAATAAAAAAAAATTTTTTAATTGGAGAAAATGACTACCCATGTAAAATTTGGCATCATCAATCTACCTGAGGTCATCCTGAAGGACAAGATCTTAGAAGAATTTGAGATTAAAAACATGCTCAGCAGGTGGGAAAATATTAAGAAAACTTTTTTTCTCAATGGTAATACAACACACTGAACATAAAATTTACCATTTTAAAGTATACAATAGAGAAAAGCATTGAAAACTAAACGGGAATTCATTTTCTACTGCATTTATAATACCGGCTCATCTTTATGTGCGTGGTTTGCTCACAAGTAGAAAAGATGGCAAGTGCTTTTCCTTTTTTACCCTTTATCCTTAGAACATCCAAGAAATAGCCCTTCCGAACATTTTTATTAATCCCGCATGTGCCTTTCCAACAGCACAAGGGAACGTGCTCGCTCTGGGGCTGGGCCTGGGCCTGGGCCTGGGCCGTCACAGAGCACTGCTCCAGTGGGAGGAAGAATGTGGCTTCTCACCAGTTCTGGACACACTCTTCTGTTTACCAGACAGAGTGAGACTGTGGCGTGTGTGCAAAACATTCCCCACACAAAGAAAGAGAAATAAAAAATAGTGTTGGTTTTATTTGTACAGGCAGGGGACACATTTCCCTTCTCCAAGGATCAGCAGGAAATGTAGGCACTGGCTAACGCAAGGCCATCTGGACATCCTACAAAGCAAGCAGCAGGATTAGAGCCTGCCCCATACACGGTTTCTTTTATTACTTCCAAAGACAAACAAACGGTCCGCCAACCAAGATGGGCTTGGCTATGCTTTTGGCCTCAATATGAAATGTTTCTACAGGTATCAGCTGTCAAGAGAACTTGCTTCTTTTAATGCACTGATTTACCTTTCAATGACATCCGGTTTCTGCACTTCTATGACACCCTCATTTTAACTTTCTTTCATAACATTCCTGAAGTTTTTGACCTGTGTAGGAACCACCAATAACAAGCCGCCATGTCTGATGTACACCATTATTGACTAGAGCCACCTTTCAATTAAGAGAAAACTTGGCAGGAGGAATGCAATTATATTCTTGGTTTGCAACAGTATTAACAAATATTTAAAATTATTCTCAGGTCACTTGAGTGAGAGCTAGAAAACTACAAAATGTTACAAGGAAAATCCATAGGCGATTCTATTTGTTTGTTTGATTGTTTGTTTTGGTGTCAATTTCTCTTCTATATTCTTTTTTTTTTCTTTTTTTTTAAATATATTTTATTGATATTTCACAGAGAGGAGGAAGGGAGAGAGATAGAGAGCTAGAAACGTCGATGAGAGAGAAACATCGACCAGCTGCCTCTTGCACACCCCCTACCAGGGATGTGCCCGCAACCAATGTACATGCCCTTGACCGGAATCGAACCTGGGACCTTTCAGTCCTCAGGCTGACGCTCTACCACTGAGCCAAACCGGCTTCGGCTATTCTTCTTTCTTCATTTGTGACTATACTAAAACTGAGTAAGCATGGGTAAATCTTTGCAGAGCACCTACTAGGTGCCAGGCCGTGGGATACATATGTGCATGTTTACAAATCCTGCAATCTGCATTTCAGCGATCCTGCAAAGTTCTGCCAATTGGTTGGTAGCTGGTGCTTTGGGCTTATCATGTGACTGCACTGTTTGCAAAGTAGAATGCCAAAGAGCACAGGCCTGTTAACAGCCAAGAAAAAGCACAAAAAGGAGTTGGTGCTGAAAGAATTCCAGGACATTTTGAACACTGAATCATGACCTGACTTCCAATTATGTTTTAAAATGCAAAAGCAACTGGAGTTTGTTTTGTTTTGTTTTTTGTTTTTGTTTGTTTGTTTATTTGGTTTTGTCTTTTTAAAGAAAACACATATTGGGCCTGGCCAGCGTGGCTCTGTGGTTGAGCATTGACCTATAAATCAAAAGGTCACGGTTGGATACCCGGTCAGAGCACATGCCCAGGTTGTAGGCTCGATCCCAAGTATGGGGCGTGCAGGCCACAGCCAATCAATCATTCTCACTCATCACTGATGTTTCTTTCTCTCTTCTTCTCCTCTTTGAAATCAATAAAAATATATTAAAAAAGAAAACACATATTGGAGTTTTATTCTCTTATAAGAGGAATTTATCCAAATAATTCATCAGAGGATGCCAACATCACAGCTTCTCTTAGCGTATTTAAAATGTACAAACATTGATTCATGAACAAGTTTTATTAATCCCGCATGTGCCTTTCATTTTAGAACAGTCGTCACTACTTTTGTATTGGCACCCCAGCTGTACCTCCAGGCACAGGTGCTCCACAAAACACAGACTCCTGCCTCTGCACAGCCTGCTTCACCAGGTACTTGCTTTTTTAAAAAACAAACAAACAAACAAACAAAACCCCACACACATTTTTATTGATCTTAGAGAGGACAGGGGAGAGAGAAACATCAATGATGAGAAAGAATCATTTATTGGCTGTTTGGTTTTTAGTATAGTTTTTAGTATTTTTTGAAACACATATTTGTCTAGTCAATTGCATATTCTTATTGCCTTACATTTTTTTATTTTATTTTACTGAGAGTGTTACCAATGTCCCGTGTGTTCCCCCCTTGAACACTGTGCAGTATTACAAGGACAGCAGGTCTTTGAGCAATACCATTTCTTTCTACCTGGTTTCATTATAACGTTGATTAAAAAATAAAATCAATTCCGTAGGGGCCACTGTTTGCTGGAGTTGCATGTTCTCTCCGTGTCCACATGGGCTTTCTCAGGGACTCAGGTTTCCTTCCATTTCCTCCCACATCCCACAGGTACGCACCCAAGGGGAATGGCATCCAACTGGGCCAGTCTGAGTGAGTGTGAGTGTGGGCGTGTGTATGGTTGTGGGTGGCCCTGCTATGAGGTGTCCTGTTCGAGATGGTTCCCACCTTGCACCCCGAGCGGCAGAGATGGGTTCTGGTCACCAGGGACCCGGAACTAGAACCAGCGGTTTGGAAAGGAATTATCTTGTTTTCAGTCATCTCTCTCAAATGTCTGTATTGCTCACATTTATTTCTAACATGTTTAAGATGAGATGTGTTTGGGGCCTTTATTTCTAAGTTTGGTGATGTTTTTGGGACCAGAAATATACCACAAGAACGTAACTCTTGTTTATACCAATTAGCCTAAGGTAATACTGATTTCATTATACATCGTTTCACTTAAAACTTGTAATTCCAAAAACCTATCCATGACAATAAGCAGTAATCAGAATACTTCTTGAAAAGAAGGAGACATGATTCTTGGGAGAAATATTGGCTTCACTATTTAGTCTACCAGCCCAATAGAAATCGCCAGTCAGAATGCTCATGGGCAGATTTCCCTCCCCAGAAGCACAGTCAACCACCTGATTTCTCACCACTGTAGGGAGGGGACGTACTAGTTTTGGGACTCAAAGTCCTTGGGAAGATCAATAAGTTTGAAGTCAAGAAAAAGCAAGTAAGCTAGGATGAAAAGCACTTCCCTAGCTGCTTGCTCCTCCAAGTGTGGTTCATGGACTGAACCATTAGCATCACTTGGACCATCCATTGGGCTCACCTGAGCTGGCAGCATCACCTGGAAGCTTATTAAAATGCAGACTCTCTGGCCCTGCCGTGACTGCAAAATTAAAATCTGCACTTTAACAGGGTGATTCTTATGCACATTCAAGTTTGAGAAATAAGACATTGAGGTGCCGCTGAAAAATTGAGAATTCATTAATAAAATGAAAGTAGAAGAGAACCCATCCTAAGTGAAGGATAGTAGTCTGTCCAAAGAAAGGCTGTCAGGTGACAAGGGAGTCTAACAAAAAATGGGGATCAGCAAAACAGTGCTTTGTTGTCCATGTGTATCCAAAGTATTACAGATACAAAACCGTGCTGTCTTGTGCCCAGTGCTACTTTCATCAGGCTTAAGGGAATGTCTGTTTAAGAAAAAAATAAAAGAACATTCACCTTCCTTTAATAGGATTAGGATGGAATGCATAATTTGACTTCTGTTTCACTTGTTTGGGGGAATGAGGAGAAGCAGAGTTGGTTCTACCTGAAGGTACTTATTCCAACTGCTGGAAAAGAAATGAATAGCCCTGGCCAGTATGGCTAGATTAGTTGGAGTGCATCCTATGCACTGAAAGGTCAAGAGTTC